ATGTGGTAATAAGATAGATTTGATTTGCATGTCAACATTTCAAGCACTCACTCTATTAAGTAAAGATAATTTAAAAATAAATAATACTGCACTCACATCTTGCCGGGGCACACGGGGCCACTAGGACACGGCCACGCCGGGGATAGGTGATCTCCGGGCGATTAGTATTCATCGATTCAAAATCACACCTCAGTAAAAGCTGACAAAGCACCAATGCGAACTAAATGCGCATTGAATGCGCCAGGAATTTCAACGCATTTCAATGCTCATTAACCAAAGCGGTGCTTCAGGGGAGATTTAGCCCAATGTCATCATGGTGTATAACTACCCAAATTCTAATCCGTGACGACCTAACGATCTCTACGTTTGGCTCCAATAATTGTTTAAAATGTTTTAAAATGTGCTGGTAAATGGTAAGCTCTTTTCCCAGTGGTCATCCTTTCCTTCAGAAGAAACCAAGTCAGTCAAATGGTACGACGGCAGCCGGGTTAAAAAAATAACCTTTTCCCCTCCATTCTCAATCGCGTGAGATCGCCGGGCAGATCAGTTCAGTTGTGGCGGCGGAGCGGAGGGGGAGAGGAGAGGGGGGAGGGGAGCTGTAGACTTCCCTCGTGGATCGCGCAAAAATAATTTGCCTGCCGTCGATCTCATGTAGCGTATTTGCTAGTGGAATATTTTCCCCTTTCTCTTTCTTCCGATTGGATCTCGTAAAGGGCCGGGCGGGCGGCTCGGCTGCGACCCACGCGAGAGGGAGATTCCGCCGAGGTATGAAGTGGGACGATTCGGCACGATTACGCGAGTTACCATGCGAACCATCCCACAGCTTCATGGGGGGCCCGGCCGTGGTGTGGTCTCTGGGTAGAGGCAAGTCGCCAGGAGTTCCCTGCATGACAGGCGAGCCCCAGCGCATACGGTGCTTCCGCTCAGTCATACCAGTCATCCGGATAAAGAACGGGGGGGGGGTCCTCGGATGCTTAAGTTTGGCCGTTTCTTTCGAATTCACCCGTGGTGCTCTGGAGGAACACGAGACAGCCAGCATGCAGGTCACAACCTCGGGCTCTCGCTCTCGGGCTGCCTCACCCGTTGCCAGGCGTGATCAGCCTGCGGACAGCTCGAGCGCGATGAC